GTGCTGCTGCCCGCCGCCAGCTTCGATGCCCGGGAGGCGGCCGCGGCGGCCGCGGCGGCGGGGGTGCTCTACGGAGGGGACGATGCCCAGGGCATGATGGCGGCGATGCTGTCCCACGCCTACGGCCCCGGCGGCTGCGGGGCGGCGGCGGCTGCCGCCCTAAACGGGGAGCAGGCGGCCCTACTCCGGAGGAAGAGTGTCAACACCACTGAGTGCGTCCCGGTGCCCAGCTCCGAGCATGTCGCCGAGATTGTCGGTCGCCAGGGTGAGTGCGGCAGGGAGGAGGGGAGTCCAGCTGGGCTTGGCCCCCGGGCGTGGGTGGGCAGACGGAAGAAACGAGCTCTGGGCAGCAACATTGAGCCCGGCGAGTCGCCCAAGTCCATCGCGAAGGGGTCTGCGAGGAACCGTGGTAGATGAGATGAGAAGATGGGTCACCTTGCGAAAACCCACGGTATTCCGCTGCTTTTTGCATGGTAAAAGGTGTTAAGTTTCTCGAGCCACCCAATCCGGTGGTGTTCACTTTACTCGGGCTGTGTTCGTGGAACAGTAGGCTGGCGTGGCACCAAAAACCTCAGTGAGGTGGTAAAAGGTCGGGTCGGTTGTGGATTCGGTGTTGTGCACGGAAAGCTGCGAGATTGCAAGTTTGCGCAGCCGACTGTCTTATAAAAGGCACTCAGCTTACCTTACAGCAGCTTGTTCAGATGAAGAAATTGACAGAAATGGAGGCTTTGTATAAAGAGCTCATTCGAGAGGGAAGGGAATGTTCAAGTGGTGGGTAACACCATCACCCCCCTCCACCCCTCCGCTGTTCAGAAACTTAGCTTTTGAAGAGCAGCCTAACTCTCTGTTGATCTATTTGTATTCTCTTTTGATACATTTTAACTCTCGAAAAAGCACATTGGCTATCTTTTAGAACACTGTAGTGTACACGATGAAGAAAAAAAATGGACAGTAAGGTAATTGAGTTAAGGAACTTTATGCGTTTATACAGTTTTCAGTAAATTCTCTTCACTTGCCAGCACACCAGCACTGCAGACAGACTCCTCCCACATTGTTCAGACAAAGGACCTATGTCTCAGATTCCAGGAGTAGATTTGTGAAGGTGGGGGAAGGGGATGCCCAGAGTACCTCAGTATCCGACATTTTTAGGGACGGTCCTCTGCTCTTTAGCATAGCTTTTTCCCCCTGTACTACCTTGTTACAATGTAGCTTAGCCCGGTTGATGCATGACTCTTTACTGTGAGGGTTGAGAGCATTGTTGGGGTCAAATAAAGAGAAATAATGGCGCTGCTGCTTAAATGATCTCATCTTTCCCAAGTGGTCTAAAGTACACATAAATAAGAGGTCTGTGGAAATGGTGGCTTCAGATATCCGAGTTGGCTCATTTCTTACCTCTCGGATTTTAATAAGAAAAACCCGTCTGAAATCTGGATAAAGGAGATAGCTTATTTCAGACTGCCTTATGACTAGTACTTTAAAGGCACAGTTCAAAGCTGGTACCATTCAATTGAGTTTATTCCTATAGTTAGTAAATAAGATTCAGATGCCTTGTTTTTTGTTTTATTTTGGGGGGTTTGGGGGGTTTTGTTTTGCAATACTTACCGATACTAATCCAGGAGAGCACTGTTTCACCTTACATAGGATAAAATTGTAATATCTCAATTTATAAATCCAGAATGAGTTGGCCATTCAATTAAGAACATCGAGGAATTGCTGTGTTTCAAGCTTCTATTTTGCCAGGTGTTGAGTTTATGGCAGTTGGAAATGTGAGATTGATTCAGACAACTTGCTGCCCTTAAGAAACTAACAGTCTAATCGACAGTGGAATGTCACTAAACGAATGTGTAGTTAATGGCACTCTCCATAGTGTATGACAGTCATACATGTGAGAACGTCAACCCCGGAGGGACTTGGAGAATGGATAGGACTTTAACAAATGGAGATGAAGAATGACTGAGGAACAATGTGGGGAAAGGTGTGGGGGGAATAATCTTTAGGTATAATTAAAAGAAAGTTGTGATTTTTTTTTTTTTTTGATACTTGGGGTCTTTAAAGGGGTGTGGCAAAGAAAAGGGGCTGGGAAGGTGTGCATTCAAGCCAGAATATGAAAAACCCTTAATGCTATACTAGGATGGCACTTCCTCAGCACAAATTGCTTCAGTGTGCTTATGGTGCCAGTTTATGGTAACAAAAGAAAAGAACATTTACTTGCCGGTTTGACTGAGGGACAAGATAATGAAATCTTTTGTATATTTAGTTTAATACAAACTTTTGTCCTTATCTATTTTGCACCCATTAAAGCACAAAAAATGGTCCCTAATTGCACAAACTGTTGTCTATACAAATCCATTTACTTAAAAGTAAACTGAATTCATTCTGAGTTTTTATTTTGTACCATCTATTAAAATAATTTAACATTTTATAATTTAATAGCAAATGAGATAAAGTCTTTAGTTTTTCTGTGCTTATTGGGCTGTTTATTGGTTAATAAGGAAATGTGGTTCTATTTATGTCTCAGGACATAGAGACAAATTGCTGACTATTCCTCTTACACTTAATATTTCCCAGAGTTGACAGTAGTGTTAAAAGTATGTCGTCATCCTCTATCTTCTCTTAAGAGCAGTCTTGCCCCCCTTTCCCTGCCTCTAGTGGATCATTGACCCCTTTGCTACCTCCCCTTTAGCAGCACCATAATAAAACCTGTGAAGTGTTTTCCCACTCCTGTGGGGGACAAGGCAACTTACAATGTTTGCATCCTTTTATTTTTTGTTTTTAAAGATTTTATTGAGAGAGAGAGAGAGAGAGCACATGAGTGGGGGGTGGGGGGGCTGGATCCCATGACCACAAGACTGTGACCTGTGAGCCAAGATCATGACCTGAGTCGGATGCTTAACCAACTGAGCCACCCAGGCACCCCTGCATCCTTTAAAAGTGTGATAATTTGTCTTTTCTCTAAGCTAATAAACAGGGCAAATCACTTAATTTACTTGTTTGCTTTGGATGAACTAAATTTTAATTCTAAAGAATTACCCATTCTTGCCATTTTATTCATTACCTGAAGTCATAATTTTCTGTTTGCCATCTCTTAATTGGTTTTGGAAATAATTATGACACAGATGGAGACATTTCTGACTTCAGCTCTGAAGCAAAGGGTAGGACAAATGGAATTCTGAGTCATATAGACTAGAACTCATGTAAATGGCCTCTGGTTCCGGTATCTTTCAAAAAAAACACAAACCACTGCTTTTGATAGTGATGAAAGTTGGCAGTGTTGACCTCATATTTGTACTCCCCAGCAGCATATGGTCATTTGCAAGTGTTAAATTAGCCCCTTCTTTTAAGCTTTGCATCTCATATTGAAACCAACCATACTGTAAAATAAAGCTAGGAACTAAAAGAGGCTTTTTGTAGAAGTTTTAGAATATGGACATTGAGGATAAACCTGGTAACAGACTTCAGACTTAACTTTTGTTAAATGTACTACCTGCAGGACACATTCACAGTGGTTAACTGGAGGTTTAAGGCAATGGACTTTGTTCTACTTTGTATAGTCATTGATACCCAGTTAGACTAAAAAGCAAACTAAAGTAGAACTCTATACCCATTCTTAACTACATTAGAAGTAAATATTGAATGTCATAAATTCAGTTGTTTTAAAAACTTGTAACTCAAGGTTTTATGTTACTGTTTAAGCTTAATGTGGGTCTTCAACTATTTTCATTAGTGACTTTATATGTGTGTTCTCTAGTCTCATAGTCTGGAAAAGTCATCTCCAGCTTTTTTTGATTGTACGCCTTGTCAAAAAAATTAAGCTTGTATTCCCAATGTCTGAATATTTATGTATGAATGAAATGTATGCACTATAAAACATGTAAAAAATTTAAAGAATGAGGTAAAAATGGAAATTGGAGTTCTAATTTTTTTGTTGTTGTTGTCTGCACTCCAGCAAAGTTTCTTGTACCCTACTTTGGCTATCATTGAGCTAGACCCTTTGGAAATTGTTTTCTTCTTTATTGAGCTACTCTGTCTCCACTGATTCCCAGGGGTTGTGTACATGGTCACTTTTTAAATAATGAATATGTTACAGTGTTTCAAGTTGTGATAAATGCATCCTTGTGACATTTTTCCCCAGTTTTCTTAGGGTAGAACCAGTCTTCAAGTTTTAACACAACTGAAATAAGGTGTATGCTTATTTGTGTATGTATGTCCAGGAGAAAAAGAGAAACTTTGGTCTTGCCATTCATAAGTTCCCTATTCAAGAAGAAACACATTTCATGAGGACAAACTGTTTCAGAACAATGCTAAAATACAATGTCTTTTTCTTTTATGGAGGAGAGGGGATTGGTGGCCTTCTCTTTGCCAGGTAATACAATTCCTGCTAGGCCACTATCCCCATTTTACAGATGTAGAAACTGAAGGTCCAAAAGATAACTTCTTCAAAAAGTGGAACTTGGATTTAGACCAGTTTGACATCAAAAGATTTTAAGTTGCTGCCTCTGTATTCAAGCATCCTGCTCAGGAAGGTTAATGATATTTGGGTTAATTTCTGCCCTAATCATGAGCTTTGGGATACTGTATTTCTAGTGGATAATTTAATATCTTCACTATCCAAATTAATTTACTTAATAAAATTTTGATGTCTCTGCTACCCAGAAGGCACAGTTATCATTCTAATATTCTCATTCTCCTATGCTTAACTAAAAATTCTGTCATTTATAGTTCAGAAACTTAATTTGTGTTATATACATGCTAGCTTTAAAAAGCAGATATTGTTACTTCTAGGCTTTAAAATTTAAATTTAGTTGATAATAGTTTGTATTAGCTCTGGGACCACTGGGAAAGGTTCAATGATTATTGTTTTACAAATGGGTGGGGAATCTACTGCTTGTTCTTCCTGCCTTATTCAGCTAATGAACTATTTTGATTCACTAGGAGGAAATGGAAAATAAAGTGGTAATGTAAGGGTGTATTTTCTATCCCCTGGTTACCAAAAATCTAAAAATGATCCAGAGTGTCAAGTATTTGCAAAGTGTTACTCTGTTAGAGATTTCTCTTTAGAAATTTTTCAACAGAGTTTATGGGTTGGAATTCTAAGTAGCTCATCTTACATCTTAAGTTTTCAAGGAAAGGTAGCATTTAGTTAGAAGATAGTGCTTAATATTTTGTGAGTTTGGTTTTGAATGAATTTGGTATTTGTATGTATTGAAGGATTTAATACTTTAGCCTTAAACTGAATAGAAAAATGTTTCAGAATATATGTTTTAA